GCGGGCAGCAGGCGGGGCGCACGTATGAAAACGACCGCGCGCGAGCGGCTAAGGGGCGGCGCGACGGGGCCTTAAGGGGCGGGTCGCGGGTCGCGGGATGTAGGGGCCGTTAAAAAAAAAAAAAAAAAAAAAAAAAATCGAGGCGCCCTTGGTAGATAGGTAGGTAGGTAGGGAACGGTGGGCCCTTAAAAAAAAAAAAACGGTCCTAGCGAAGGACCTGCTCTGAAACCATGTCAACGAGAACGGACTGGAATGATGAACTAGCAAGGATTGTGAGTACAAATATGAAACCCTAATGTTGTGACCCCCCTATAGGCTAACCCACTGCAGCCTACACGCATACAACATGTATAATGTTTGACACTTACTTCGCAAGTTCGTGCATGCCACGACAGACATCGCCCGACATAATGCTGCCCCGATAGAACGACATGTCCCAGAGTCGACACTCGAACCGTCCAAAATTGTGGTACATCGTATTCGGCTCGACGCATCTGGTCGCCGCGTGGATTTTCTGATCTGTTGGACTGACCGCCCAAGTGAAGATGACACTTGGGTGCCATTCGCCTCGCTTATTGGTAATTATCTCGCCCGCGAGCGAGCTGCAGATATTAACCACCTTTCTTAAGGGGGGGGGGGGTAGTGTAAGAAATTTTCCCGAATGCCTTATCGGGGTTGACTGCTACGCGTACAGCCCGATTTTCGGACTCTGCACGTTCGGCCAACATCAACAATACCAAGGCTCCTCTCGTCGCCTTCGGCCCTTCGGTCGCCAATCCTGCACCCAACCTCGATTCCCGAGGTTCCCTCCTAACACAATGTCGTTATTCGTTATTCCGAGCACTCTCTTTTACAACTCATAACATTAGCAGACTGGTTAGGCGCGAGCGGGAATATTGTAGAGCTTCAAGAGTTTTGGCGGAAGTTACATGTGTGACCATTTGCGTGATTTTTTCCCTGTTGTTAGTAACTGAATCCATGAACCCTCTTACCATATTTGTCAAGAAAAACGATGCAGTGACCATACACGTTATTGAGTCCCTTAAAGTTACTCGTGTAATATTTTTCCCAACTAAAATGACGTTGGTGGATGATCAGGAGTCACTAGGGTGGAAGCATTATTGTTACCGTTGTAAGTTAAGGACGAAATGCACAACACCACCAATAAAAAGGGGCACATTATAACAGAAACATTTTCCAGACGATGTACAGTAACTGGGATTTCTCGATTTCTCGATTTCTCCTACTACTCGAATATCGACCTCCTAGGATGCGTCGGATTTCTCGACCACCACGTCGGATTTCTCGTAGACTGACCGTAGGGTGGGCTAGAGCGGCCCACGCGTGGCCCCAGAAGAACATGGCGCTGCATAGCCTGGCCGGGCGGGGGTTCCCTCGCCAACTTCGATCGGCTTTTGAGGCGCCTCAAAGGACGGGGGTTTCCCTTTTGAGGCGCCTCAAAGGACGGGGGTTCCCCTTTTGAGGAACCTCGATCGGGTTTCTTCTCACAGCCGTTCTCGCACTTTCAAAATCTGAGCCATTTCCGTTTGACGAGTTAAGAAACGCAAGAAGCGCCAGTATTTTTTTTTTTTTTTTTTTTTTTGTTTTCTGTTAAGATGGCGCCACCGAAGAGGTCAAAAGCTGCGCCGAAAAAGAACGCGCCGCGCGCGCCGAAGAGAGCGCGGCGCGCGCCGGGGAGAGCGCCGCGCACGCCGGAGAAATCGCCCCGCACGCCAGAGAAATCGCCCCGCACGCCGGAGAAATCTCCCCGCACGCCAGAGAAATCTCCCCGCACGCCGGAGAAATCTCCCCGCACGCCAGAGAAATCTCCCCGCACGCCGGAGAAATCTCCCCGCACGCCGGAGAAATCGCCCCGAGCTGAAGATTCAATTCCAAGTATCTTGGTAAGTGGGTGGGAGGGTGGGTAAGTGGGGGGAGGCGGTGGTGCGGTGGAGGGTGGGTAAGTGGGAGGGAGGCGGTGGTGATGGGAGGCTGGTGGTGGTGGTTAAATGGGAGGGAGGGTGGTTCGTTGGAGGGTGGTGATGGTGCGAGGGAGGTGGTGGTGGAAGGCTGGTAGGTAAATTGTGAGGATATGAGTTGTAGGGACGAGTGAACTTGCTTGATTGGTTTGAGTAAAGATGCACTACTTAGTTTCGCTAACCCCCTCTTCCTGTGGTGTCATTGTTGCAGGTGATTAGAGAGGGGATGGACGCTATTGTTTTGAGTAACCCGGACAAGATTGTCTTGACCGCCGGTCAAAAACTGGATGTGCGTATGACAATGTGCTCGTTCTGGTGTCCTTTGCTGGTGCTATGCTTAGTGGCTGATGCGTGCTGTACTATTGCTGACTGATACTATGTGCTATGCTGTGTTTGCTGCTGCGTGCTGATATGTGCCGTTTGCTTCAATGCATGCAGGAAGCCACTTTTTTCAAGAACGTACTTTGAAGGATTCGTTATTTTCAAAGGAGGTATGTGCGGACATGCTGCTTTTTGTTTATTCGTGTGCGTGCGTACGTGTGCGTGCGTACGTGTGCGTCTGTGTGTGCGTGTATGGTGCGTGTTTCCAAGTTTGTTTTTTTTCTTGTTCTCGTATTTTCCCTTGTGTATCAACAGATCTTCTGGCTTATTGACTGGCGCGATGGCGAGGGGAGGGAGGAACGACCGGATGGGAGGGGAGATTGCAAGGGCGACGGGATGGAGAGCGCTAAGGCGACGAAATGGAGAGCGCTAAGGCGACGAAATGGAGAGCGCTAAGGCGACGAAATGGAGAGCGCTAAGGCGACGAAATGGAGAGCGCTAAGGCGACGAAATGGAGAGCGCTAAGGCGACGGTAGAGAGAGCGCTAAGGCGACCATAGAGTGAGCGCTAAGGCGATGGGAGGGAGAGCAGCTAGCATACGACGAGAGGGAGAGCGCTAAGGCGACGGGAGGTAAAGACGACGCGGTGAGCGATGGGCCGACGAATGCATGCGCGAGGGGAGAAAGAGATGGTGACGGGGGGAGAGGAGAGAGACCCGCGAAGGTGGGAGGGGAGCGGAAAGCGGACGAACGACTGGAGGCAAGGGGAGATGACGAAGGCGCGATACAGGAAACTAACACCTGCGGAAGGGTAACGATAGGCTACGGAAGGGAATAAAATTACGATACAACGCTATGTAACAGTCTTACGCATTCCTGTTGGGTCGTTAGTTCCTTAGCTTGGCCACAAACATCTATTGTTGTCAGCTATAATATGCTAGGAATGAAACTAGTGATTACGGGACGGAGAGCAACTAGCATGAAACCCAGTTCCAGCTTGAAACCAACTTTGGCCTGGCGATCGAAACCATCGCTTGGCAAGAGTCGTGCAGGTGTAGCACGTAACATGCGACAGAGGGAAAAAAAAATTGGCGGGAACATGAAGAATCAAAGATTGGCGACAGCCAATCACATTTGCTCATGGTGCTTTTCGTTTTGTTTGGAACAGTGCTCGAACGGCCCGTGATGGGACAGGGTTCACTATTTTATATTTCGGTTTTAAAATTGTTAAATCTGAACATAGATTTGTTGTTTTTCTTTCCTTCTAATCCCTATCTATTATTTTTTAGCAGTATTAAAATGCTATTTTTTTTTAAATTATCAAGAAACGTTTTTATTGAAACCTAACAAACAGTGCAATAAATTATATGTTGCAAGCAAAAAAAACAAACAAGTGTCTAACTAGATTCATATGTGAGTCAGATTCTTTAGGCTACAGCGAGATGCTCTATACAGGGTGTATTCTTCATGTATGCAACTCATTCCCGCACAGCATTCCCAAGCTGGCACGAATATTGCCGCTGGCTCAGCGTCGGACGCCTCGAAGCTCTTGAGTCACGTTGCCCTGAGCATAGAACCCTCATTCCCAACAGTAAAGGCCTCGCCTACCGGGCTAGTGCAGGGAGAGCTCCGACCTTTCAGCGCGAACCACGGGACTGGTTTAGCTTGCGTGCAAGTACCGCGCAAGAGCTCCCCGTTTCATCGCGTGCATCCCGTTTCGTAAACGATCGCGAGAGAGCGATGCACGACGACGCCGACGTAGGCGGCTCCGCAGATGGGCAGCCCGACGCAAAGGCCGGCACATTATCCCCGTTTCTAGGCCAGATCATGGTGCGTTTACCGGGTTAGTGTTTGTTTGATGGTGTGTTATTGTTCAGGACTCTCTTGTAACACCGTTTCGTCGTGGTAACATTTACAATTCGCCATGGTCTCTGAAATAGGGTTACCGCCGTATCCTGTGTCTTGCGCGCTCTCGCAGGTGCCTGGGGACGCAGCGGTGGATCTGAAGCAGGTCACGTCGTCCGTGCTCAGAATCGGACCAGGCCTCCGACAGGTGCGCTCTGCCCTCCTTTTGAGGCCACTCTTATACAGGCTCAGAAACAGCAAGGCCGTTTCGCAGAGACCCCAAAGGTTGAATCACACAGGTGCGCTGATCCCATTGCTGCATAAAGTGCTTGGGAAGAAATGGAGACACGCTGCTTTGCAGCATAGTCTCACGCAGGTCCCTCTTCCCCTCTGCTTGTTGCTCTTCACTTCGCAGTACTTGAGCGCCAACTCGCTCTCGCCACCCACATGCTCTCCACCCACCCTCCCACCCACCCACCCACCCACGCACCCACCCTCCCACCTCCTGCATGATACCCATCTCCGTGTCCTTGCCCCGGCAAGCAGGAGGGCGACATGGTGGTGGGCATGCGGGCGGGACGGCTGAAGCCCGCAGCTTCACATGTGCTACCCGCCTACCCACCCACTCACCCACCTTCCCACCTTCTACATGATAACTTACCATGTGTCCTTGCCCGGTGAAGCAGGAGGGTGACATGGTGGTGGCCATGTGAACGGGGCGACTAAAACCCGCACCTTCAACCGAGCCACCCACCTATTCGCTCACGCACCCATTCACGCGCCCACCCTTCCACCCGTCCTCCCCGCCCTTACACCTCCCATCTCCCCGTCCTTGCCTGTGAATCAGGAGGGCGACATGGTGGTGGCCATGCGGGCGGGGCGACTGAAACCAGCAGGGAAGAGGAAGCTGTGGGTGGACTGCAGTGTCAAGCGCGTGAGTGGGAGGGTGGGGGATGTGGGTGGGTCATTTTGAGTGAGAGAATGTAGCGAGACGATTGAGCTGAGCGGCATGAGCGTGTGATTGGGGCTGAAGCCCGCAGGGAAGAGGAAGCTGTCGGTGGACTGCAGTGTCAAGCGCGTGAGTGGCATGGCACGTGCGCGTGAGAGGTGTGTGAAGGAGTTGGAAGGTTTGTGAATCTGTATGAGGTTATGTGAAGGTGCGTGAGGGAAGAGGAAGCTGTGGATGGACTGCAGTGTGAGGCGCGTGAGTGGCATGTGCATGGGCGGGTGAAAGGTGTGTAACGCCATGACGGAGCAGAGTCACATTCATGCCGTTTTGATCAGCCTCCTTTTCTGCGTTCCAATCGTCTTGTTGATCCATCTATCCCCCCCTCCTCCCCTCTGCTCTCCCGTTTCCCCCTTTCCCCTTGATGGCACAAATGCAATGAATGCCCCACTTTATTCCCCTTCACTCACCAACAGTACACGCCTGCAGTGGAGGAGGCAGTTATTGGCATCGTGATTGATAAACACATGGAGGTATGCTTGCCCTCCTGTCCTGCTTGCTCCCTCGCTGTTAAAACCCACATGCACACATGCGTTACACGTAATTCATGCATGTGTGAAGAGGCACAAGACAAGTGCTCGCGCGCGCGCGCACACACACACACACATATTCCTCCAAACACCCTCTGTGCCCTTGCCTCACCATCCTGCCTGCACCCATTTCCCTGCCCCCTGCTCTCCCTCCCCCATGCCCTTTGCTCTCCCCCACGCCCCCTGTTCTCCCCCATGCCCCCTGTTCTCCCCCCTGCCCCTGCTCTCCCCCCTGCCCCCTGCTCTCCCCCATGCCCGCTGCTCTCCCCCCTGCCCCCTGCTCTCCCCCATGCCCGCTGCTCTCCCCCTTGCCCCCTGCTCTCCCCCTTCAGAACCTAGACGTGGACATCAAGGCCCGGGCCTTGCCATCCTACCTGCACATGTTCCTGTTTGTCAGATGCAAAATGCATTCTCCCCCCATCCCCCCTGCTTTATCCCCTGCCCGCTTCCCACCTGCACATCTTCCTTCCCCCCAAAACCTGGACGTGGCTATCAAGGGCCCAGGCCTCGCCATCCTGCCAGCACATGTGCTTGTCTGTCAATGCGTATTGCACATGCCCCATGCATTCTACCCCCACCCCCCCCCCCCCCCCCCCCCCCCCCCCCCCCCTGCCTTCCCTCAGAACCTGGACGTGGATATCAAGGGTCCCGGCCTCGCCATCCTGCCAGCACTCGCATTTGAAGGCGCCACCAGACGAAACCGACCCAACCTGCAGGTACCGTTGGACCCGACTGCAGGTGTGGCCGGACCCAGCCTGCAGTTTGTTATGCCTTGATTGCTGTTAGCGTGAGCTATGGTGATCATTTTCATGTCCTTGAGATGCTGGAATAAAGGTGGAACAACGGTGTGCGTGCATGCATGTATGCACGTCTTCACATGTGCATGCATGTGTATGTCTGCGTGCATGCATGCAGATTGGGCAGGCTGTGTACACGAGAGTGGTCAAGACCCACAGGGATGCCGACCCTGAGCTGTCGTGTGTGGACGGTGAGTGGTGCTGAGTGGTGGCGAGTGGTGGTTAGTTTAGTGGATGGTGTGAGGTGGTGAGTGGTGGTGGTGAGTGGTGGGTGGTTTGTGGTGTGAGGTTTGTGGTCCTCTGATGCCTAGCCTTCCCTGCAACTTTAATCCTGTGCTCCCACCCGCTCATCCCCTTTTCCTCCCTCCCCGTTTTGTTCCCCCTTCACCGGTTCCCCTTCTCCCGCTCCCCCCACCCATTTCGCAGCGAGTGGCAAGGCAGCAGAGTTTGGGCGGCTAGTGGGCGGTCACCTCTTTGACTGCTCCACTGCGCTTGCATTCGCTGCAAGCCTATTCTCTCTTCTGCAATGCACTCATCATCTGTCCTCCTTTCCTTTCTCTCCCTCTCGCTCCCGCCCATGCGCATCGCAGCGAGTGGCAAGGCAGCAGAGTTCGGACCACTAGTGGGTGGTCACCTCTTTGACTGCTCCACTGCTCTTGCCCGCCTGTGAGCTTTTCCTGCTATCCATGCAAGCATGCTATCGGTGCATCCATGCCAGTCTTTCCAACCATGCACCCATGTCATCCATGCCTTTATGCATCCATGCACCCATGCGCTCATGCCATCCAAACCAAGCACATCTCTCCATGCGTCCATGCATCATATTCCAGTTGTCCCCAATTGTTTCTGTGTGTGTTTGTGATTTGTTTGTTCCCAGCCTCTTGGCAACACCAACAGCCCCGGTGTTGAAGGCACTTGATGCTGCTGGTTTGGCCTTTGAAATTGCTGTGGGCCTCAATGGAAGAGTATGGGTGAGTTGTGTGGCCTTTGGCATGTCATTTCTGCTGTTGATCATTTGTTTGGGTTGAAGAGGGATGAGAGTTGTCATTTGACTGTTTTTGTTGTCCTGTGCTGGTGTGCTTTTTCAGGTGAAGGGGGACACAATAAAGAACACCATCCTTGTTGCAAATGCAGCTCGAAACTCTGAATTTCTCTCTGCTGTGCAGCAGCGAGCAATGGTAAAGGAGTTAGTCAGGCTGTCGTTATGATCATGACGATGCTTTTCTTTGCAGTTCTGTAAAATATCATATGTGCATCAGATCGTTTCAAAGCGAGTGTACACAGTTATACCCTTTTCTTGCGGAACCTAGGAAGCTCCGCGCCCGCCATCCACGTCTCGCTGATTGCGGAGACCACCTTCCGCCGAAACCCTTTTTTGTTCCGCCAGTCCCAGAGAACTCCGCCCACGCACAACCTCTAGAAGCACACACAAACTGCTAAGAGATTGACACTTCGGGCTCAACGCGGTTGAATACGATCGTAAGAGTTACAAAACGGTTTTCCTTATTCACCGCGTCGAACCATAGCTAACCTGTCTGAGATTCAGAACGTCTGCTGGAGCTTTTTGTTATCTCCAACATTCTGCTGGAACCTGCAATACTCAGTATGTAGAAGCGTCTTCTTGATCTGTGCTTTCCGTGGAGGTTTCATCCGTTGATCAACGTAGTTGTCAGATCGGACGGCCCTGGGTTTTCGTTAAGGGCCGCACGCCTCTCTGATGCAAAGTATATGCTCTGGAGTGTCAGGAATGCGATATATGGAGGAAAGGTTAAGAAGCTATGCGGAGCAGGAGCAGGAAAGAATCAGGCTGCTGCCTCAGGGATGGAGGTTTCGCCGCGAGGATTGCCAGTTTCAGGGATTTTTCTTAAGCTGAATATTCTTCGTGGCGTGGTCTCAAGGCTTTTCGGTTTGTTTTCTACGGTCGCCTGACCTGACTGGTAATCTCGTCGCAGCAGATCGGTTCGATTTCGGTCCAATTCTGACCAGTGGTTTACAAGGGGGGCCGGAGCAAGAGCGTATCGCAACCGTTTCTACTTCGTACTTTTCAATAAAAGAGCGTGACACGAGTTATACTTCAAACAGTCATGGTGACGGCAGCAGCGGCTGGACCTGCGTCACCAGCATCATTACCATCAGCATCACCCGTATCAACATCACCTTCACTTCCCACCTCAGCAGCTTCCGCATTACCATCTACATCTACACCGCCATCCTCGTTACCAGCAGCATCATTATCCGCTACGGAATCCAACGGTCAAGAGCAATCAGCTCCAGACTCGTGGGAGTCGGACGATCTGGACGAGCGGTTGAAGCAACTGCAGATTGTCAAACCCGTGACTGTAACGAACGGCGCTACTGGCGAGAACAACAGCTCCAGTGACAGCTTCAATGGCACCGGCGACGAGCAGCAGCAGCATCAAGCGAGGGAGAGCAACCAGCTGTCGAGCCAGCAACCCGGGCTTGCGACGACGAATCAGTCGGCGGGTCAGCCGCAAGCGATCGACAAGCGCTTGGAGCTCGTCGACAGCTTTCTCAGGGAGGCTCTTTCGAACCCTCGCGACCGACTCACGAGTACGTTCGCCGTTGCATATGTCACTTCTTTTATAGTCCCTTGTTGCCTTTTAGATATGCGCGTCTGCACTTGTTGTTGTCTTATCAAGCGTTTGTTCGCTTCTATCATCAATGCTCTCGGCGGAGACGGTGCTCTGCATGGTGCGGCGTGAAGCGATTTACCCGCAACCCCAGCGTCAATGTCCCTTTTCAAAGCGCCTAGAAAACCTTTTTTCCCTTTCTCCACTGTTCAACGACTTCCTTTCTCCACCTCGCGCCGTTCCCCCGTTCCCCTTCCCCTCCCCGCCCCCGCTCTCCCCCAACCCTCCTAATCCCCCCGGCGTCAGTTCTCCGCATGGAGCAGGACGTGGAGCGGTTTATCCGGAATCCTAGCCTGAAGGTCATGGAGTTCCAGCCAATGGCGTCATCGTACCACCGCGCCGCCGCGCACCGCGTCGCGCAGCACTACTCGCTACAGACATCCGCCGCTGAAACCGTCACGCCAAGCGGTGGCGAATGCACCGTCGTTGTCGCGCGAAAGATTGGCGAGCTTCGCCCGCCGCCCGTTCGCCTCGTCGACCTCCCTCTCGGCCTGACCAGCGGCGGCGGTAGCGGCGGCGCTGCCGGCGCCGGCGAGGTGAATGGCGGCGGGGCGGGCGCGGAAGCTGCGCCAGGCCCCGGGGGGTTTAAGCTGGCAATAAGGCGGAGGCCGAGCGGGGGAAGAGGAGGGGCTGCGGGGGATGGCGCAGAAGGGGGAATGGGCGGAAGTTCCGCGGACGGGCAGGCGGATGGCGCAGGAGCGATTCGATCTGTAGAGGAGCGGAAGGAGATGTACAACCGGGCACGAGCAAGAATTTTCAACACTGCCCAAGTGGATGCTGTGGACAGCGAGGAGAGCGCGGGCAGCGCGGAAGGGGCAGGCGGAAAGGGCGAAGCGGGGGGAAAGCAGGAGAAGGAGGGGAAGGCAGGGGGAAAGGCAGGTGTGGAGTCAGGCGGAAAGACAGGGGCGAAGGCAGGCGCGGAAGCAGGGGGAAAGGGAAGCGGGAAGGGAAAGGGCGGGGGCGCGGGAAGTGGGGGGGAGGAAAAGGCTGGCGCGGATAAGCAAGGGCTAACCAAGAGCTCGTCTGGCGGGCGGAAAGGGAGGAGCGTGGCGATTCTGCGAGACAGGGAGAAGGAGAAGCAGGACCCTGACTACCAGCGCGGTTATGATCGGTTCTCACAGAGGTTCGACCCAGGCTTTGGCGCCCAGGCACCTAATCCGTACGGCATGCAGCCCATATACGCCCCCGTCGTTACTTATGCTTCTGAGTTCCCGTCTCTCTCGCCCTCTGCCCCGGCGAATAGTCCTGCTGCTGGCAGCCGAACCGGGCGTGGAGGCCCGGGTGGTGCGGGACCTGCCAGGCCTGGAGGTCCGGCGCCAGGTCCGGCACCAAACGCGGCCGTCCCCGGCCCGGGGCAATCTCCAGGCTCGGTAGGCGCTGGTTCGGCAGGGTTGATCCAGCCAGGGTTTCCAGGGGCGGGGTTTCCGCCGGGCAGTTTCCCCCCAGGCAATTTCCCCCCTGGCAGTATACCCCCGGGTGGTTTACCCATGCAATTTCAGCAGATCCCCACTCTTGGCCCTCCCCATCCGCTGAACGTGTGGCGAGCACATGCTGCTGTGGGAATGATGGCCATGCATGGCCGGGGGGTCATGCCAATGCCCGGACCTGTTCCCGGACCTGTTCCCGGACCTCTTCCAGGAGCTGTTTCCGGATCTGCCCTTGGTCCGGTTCCATACGGACTGGTCCAACCTCCCAGTTCGATGCCAGGTTCGGTAGGCTCTCCTGGAGGGGTAGGCATGGGAATGACTGGTTCGGCAGCAGCAGCAGCGGGAGCTGGAGCTTTAGCGGGAGGTTCGGGATTGGTTGGGGCAGCAGGAAGGGGGGTAGGTCAAGGCTTTCCACCGAACCTTCAGAGGGATGGCATCATGGGTCCAGGAGCAATTTCTGTTCCTGGTGTTGGTGGTTCGGTGAGACCAGGTCCGGGAGCAGGCTCGGGCCCAGCTTTTTCGCCAGGCATGGTCCCAGGCCCAAACCCAGGCATGGTTGTGAGCCGAGGTATGGTTTTGCCGGGAGGTATGGGTTATGGTTATGGAGGAGGGAATGTGGTACGGCCAGCAGGTTCGGTAGCAGGGCCGGGATTTGGAATGGGGCAAATAGGGGGCCCTGTTGGGGGTGGGGGTATGCCGTATGCGGTGGGTGGTGTGGGGTTAAACGGAGGAGGGATGGGAGTAGCTGTGAAGGAAATGGCTGTAGTACAAGCAGGTGCAGGTGGTGGTAGTGCTGCTGGGAGTGGTGGGGTGGGAGGGGGTGGGGGTTGCGGGGTGGGTGTGCTTGGAGGCGGGCGACGAGAGGTGGTTGGGCCCGGTGTTCAGCCGCCTCCTCCGAGCAATTTTCCCTACATGCAACAACATCAACAGCAGTATCAGCAGCAGCAGCAGCAGCAGCAGCAGCAGCAGCAGCAGCAGCAGCAGCAGCAGCAGCAGCAGCAGCAGCAGCAGTTTCAGCAGCAACAGCAACAGCAGCAGCAGCAGCAGCAGCAGCAGCAACAGTTTATGCATCAGCAACAGATGCATCAGCACCAGCAGCACCAACAGCAATTGCACCAGCAGCAGCAGTGGAGGCAACAACAGCAGCAACGCTAATGGCTTTCTCAAACAGGTGCCATCTGGAATACTTCATTTGCAGGGGTCAGGCTTTGTTTATGGAGCTTTTCTTGCCTCTTTTAGGATTGACCTTATTTTTGCTGATCTGCATTGCCATCTGATTTCTGTAAAGGCTTACTATAGCTAGGTTTTGCTGATTATTTTCTAAGGTTACGTCACGTTGCAAACTTTTTTACAGTAGTGCTTTTGCCCTTTTGACTCCACATCACACGAAAATGTGAGGACGTGCCCTTTTGCCCTAATGGCGAATAGCAGGCAGGCGCGGCCGACGTACAGTGTAGTCAGTAGAAAGAGGCACTTCCGATAGATGAGGTCCTGGGATCGAACCCACCCCCGTGCAGGCGTGTTCTGCCAGCCCCAAGTAGGGGTTAGCACGTGCTCATCTAGGAGTGGATACCCCTTATAAACTGGTTACGAACAGCGTAGCAAGCGACCGCTCCACGTTGACATCGTTTGAATGTTCGCGAGTTTCGGCCAGCCCAAGTAGCTCACCCTCATTTTTCGCACCCCTTGACCTGGCCCTCACATCATGGACATTTACGAGCTTCCACGATAATAATCACCCGTGTAACCGTGTTCGCATTCATCCTCCATTATCCAGCACGACGGAATCGTTAGCGGCCAGCACTGTTCGCCGTCACGAGCAGCGGCGATGGACCCCAAAGCGGTTGGGTACGATTTTGTGCGCTTGGAAACGCTCTTCTTGGATAACCACTTTGAACCGCTATACACCTACCAGAACATGATTTGTACATAAACTGCAAGCGAACTACTGTACCTTCCACAATCATCACCTTACCAGTCGAGACGCGGGCTAGTGCATTTTCTCGCTCTTCCGTCAGTCTTTATTTCCACAACCTTTAGTTTTCTCACTTCCTCATTGACTATAAAAGCCCTAACAAGCGGCGCAAGCAATAAACTCTGCTTATTAACTCTGTACATACGGGAGACAGCGGCATTGGTTCAGATACGAAGTGCAATTTGAGGTGCCGTGTCTCGCCAGCCTGCCGAAAAGCAACTGACGTGCGCAGCCGCTTCCAGCCATTGCCAGCCAACTGAGTGTTGCCATTCGAATCGTCCCCTAGTAGGAAAAGCGTCACCTTCGAAGCGCGCCCTAGTAGGAAAAGAGTCACCTTCGAAGCGCGCCCTAGTAGGAAAAGAGTCACCTTGTGGCAGAGTCCAATTTAGAGCTTTCAAATATTTTTTGGGCACGGCAGGCCGGCGAGCAGTGTTCGTTGGCGAGCTGGCAAAAAGGGAAACCGTGTTTTGAGTCGACTCAAAATCGGCTCCAGCTTTCACAAACACGGCCGCATTTCTCGATTTTTATGCTGAGAGGAGTAATATCTTCAAATAGTGTGAAGTTTTTGAAGCAGCATTTTGCATCCTAATCTCGCGGGGAATAGCAGTCGCGTCGCGAGGATGAACGGCGGGGGCAACGAGATACCCGCGAACCTCCTCTTCGGCCGCGTAGGATGCGTCGAGGATTTCGCGGGGCCGCCCATTCCCACCGGCACCGCCGCCGCGAATGGCGCCGCAACAGACGCCGCGAGTTACGGAGGCGCACCAAAGCGGCAAGAGGTGCTGCTGCCGGAGCAAGCGGCGCTGATTCGCGAGTCGTACGCGCGCATCGAGAAGGACCGGAAGCAGCACGCGCTCATCATGTACCTCACGTGAGTGCAACGCGTTGACTTGTGTTGACTCACAGTCACTTGCTTTGACTCAAGCAGCACGCGCTCATCATGTACCTCACGTGAGTGCGTGGTTGCGTTGATTTGACTCTTGTTGACTCGCGTGTGTCACGGTGCCTTGCATTACTGACTCGCGTTGACTCGCATTGTCTTGCTCTGACTGGACCAATTTCTGACAAATTTCCCCTCCCCGCCCTTTCCGCCCCTTCTTCCGCCCAATTGCTGACCGCCACGTCAGCATATTCGACATCTGCCCCGAAGCCAAGCCGCTATTCTCCATGGTGCGCGAATCGAGCGAACCCGCGCCCGTGAACCCGCGCCTGGAGGCGCACGCCACGCTCGCATTCACCATGGTGGGAATGATATGGTGGGACGAGTGGGGTGGCATGAGATGGTGGGGCGGGTGGAAATAAGACAGAGGGAAGGGCGCACGGGAGGGTGAAAAGAATAGGTGTTCTTTTACTGTGGAATGTTTTGAGGCGCCTCAAAACGCACGGGAGGGTGACATGAGCAGGTCCTCTTTTACTGTGGAGTGGTGGGAAGGTGCATGGGGTGGTGGGGGAGGTGACGAATGTTTAGTGCCTTCAGCGCATGGGATGGCAGGGGCCGGATGGGCAAGGCAGCTTTGAGGCTTTGCACAGTGCCATCCCATATCCACATGTCCCTACGCCCTTGCACACTCCCCCGCCTTTGCATCCTACCCACTCCCTCCCCCCCCCTCCCCGGTTCCCAGATGTGCGAGGCCTTCAGTAACTGGGACGATCCGGAGCGAGTGGCCAAGCAAACGCCATTCTTTAAGGCATTAGGTGGGAGACACCTCAACTACGGCATCGATGGGGACGACTTTCCTGTGCGTGGGTGTGGGTGGGTGTGGGTGGGTGTGAGTGGGTGTGGGTAGGTGTGAGTGGGTGTGGGTAGGTGTGAGTGGGTGTGGGTGGGTTTGAGTGGGGTGTGGATGGGTGTGAGTGGCGACTGTAGGAGCACACAAGCAAACGCCCTTCCTCAAGGCTTTGGGTGGGAGACACCTCAACTACGGCATTGATGGGGACGACTTCCCGGTGAGTGAGGATTGATGCTGCATGGTAACAGCACATACAAGGCAACGGCCTTCTTTAAGGCCTTAGGTGGTAGGCACCTCAACTACGGCATTGATGGGGACGACTTCCCGGTGGGTGGGTGGTGGTTGGAATGGTGGATGGTGGATGGTGGATGGTAGAGTGGTATAGAGAGCAAACCGCACACTCCTTTCATGTGTCCCCTCCTTTCCACCATGCAGATATTCCGCACTACCCCTCCCTCTCCTTCTCTCTACCTTGCTGTCTCCTACACTCCTCACCCCATGCAGATCTTCCGCACTGGCTTCATGCTTCCTGAAGGCGTTACAGCGGGCGTTCGGGGAGGAGTGGTGTGCAGCTTGCGCAGCGTTTGCAGCATTTGCAGCGTTTGACATACGCCCAGAAGTTCAACCACCCTCTCTTCCCTTCCCCCACACTCCTCCCCCCATGCAGATTTTCCGCACTGGCTTCATGAAGGCACTGCAGAGGGCGTTTGGGGAGGAGTGGTTTGGAGACCTGGAGGTTGCATGGTGTGCCGCGTTTGACATTCTAGAGGACATGGCTTCGAGCGGCATGGCTGAAAAGGGCGGGCAGAAGGTGGTCCCGCCTGCTGCTCTGGAGATGTTAGAGAAAATGCGGCAGCAGCAGTAGCAGTGCCATAGACACAGGAGACAGCACGGCAGCACGCGGCAGCATGCATGCGGTGCAGCACGGTGTGGTGTGGTGTGCAGCGTTTGATATGCAGGAGGACACGGCTTAGAGCAGCATGACAGTAGTGCAGTGTCACTTTGCTTTGCATCACGTGAGGCTCACAGTCACGTGCAACAAGTATGCAAAGCATTCCATCCTAGAAAATGTCAGCTACATGCATACGGGATGATCGGATTATGAAAGTCCTTCAGACCCTCTGGTAGAACTAGGTGTGTAAATATATGGAACCAAGTTGCACAGGTGTGGGAAGAGAAGTGGTGCAGGGAAGAACTGGTAATTGCTACTGTATGTGCTTTTGGATATGGTGGCAATAACAGTGGCAATGGGATAGTGTGACCATGGAGTTGTGTGCACCTGAGCAGGGCCCACGTTATCAGGGCAAAACATCCTGATTACCCTGAATTCAGGATGCACTTCTGTATTTACCCTGCAATTTCAGAATAGTCATAATTTTAACCCTGAGGTCACAGGATGTTTTTATGTGAAATGCCCTGGAGTTTCAGGATGGCCGTAGTGTTCTTCCCTGTAGCGTCAGGATGAATGTCGAGGCCTGCCCTGACGCGGATTTTGGTGGGGGGGGGGGGGGGGGGGGGGGGGGGGGGTGGTGTAAGGGGGGGTGTTCCGTTTCCGTTGAAATTTTCCCCCGTGTACGTTTCCCGCCTTCGCACGTTCTCTTCCCCTTGACATTTCCGATCCCCCGCTACACCAGCCAAGCCAACCCCACCCCATCACCCACCGCCAAGGCAACTCGTCCTCTGCCTGGCTAGCTCTAGCTGGGTTTCTCACGCTGACGTTCAGTAGCACTCCATCCAACACCCTTGCAGTGTTGCTGTTAGAGCGTGTTCCTACGGGCCCCTATCAGGCCCTCCTCATATAAAAAACAAAAGTATCGAGATTCTCGTTGTAAATCACAGCGCGCTAGACTTGAAAAACCTGTTTTGCGCGATGTAAATTCGAGCGCGAAATCATTCTGACATGCCACATCAGCAAACCCATTTCACACGATCGTGCTGAACTTCGTGCGAATGGAGCTCTACGGGCTCGAACTTCAAACATTTTTTCAGCGTGCGAAATCATGAAGGATGAATTGACTCAGTTGACCAGTATGGTTTCGACGTTTCATCTCAGACATGCAACTTATAAAAACAATTTCGGGGCACCACACGAACAATCTGTTATTGCAGCCGCGTGCCACATCATCCACGCCATTTTTCTCGCACTCTACAATCCACAAAGATGTGAAATAAGAAGTCGGGTAAAGACGAATTGATGGTGTTTTTGTTAAAATAGTAGGCTTAGGAGAAATTAGGTTTTAGGAAGAGAGAGGATGTTTGGCCAAGCAAGGAGAGGTTTGACTATGGAGAGAGTTACAAGAAATAGGGCAAGGGAAGGTGGCCAAGGGGGGTATACCACCAACAATGAAATAGATACTACACTAACTAAGCTAATATGCAGTTATACATAGAAATACAATTTCTGACATCCCCCCTTAACTGCATACAAGCATAGCTAGTGAGGGGCGCTCTACCCTAAGTGCAGACTTCACCGGGCCGCAGCTGGGCCCACCGATACAACACACGATGGAGTTTCCCGCCTGCGGTTTAACCCCCGCAGTGGATGCCTGGTGTGCGCGACTCTGGGTGACCACGCCCAGAAACGACGGAGAAAAGGAACGAACGACAAGAAAACATTACGAAAGTAGAAAACAGAAAAGAAGAGACCCTTTCTCTCTCTCTCTCTCTTTCGTCCCCCCTTAACCTCTCTCATCCCCCCTTAACCTCTCTCCTCTCCCCCCCCCTCCTCCTACCGCAACTAGTGCTGCAGGAAGAGAGGAAGAGAGAGGGGAGGGATGGGTTGCTGGAGGCTCACACCCGCCACCCCCACATCTCCCCTTTCCCCTCCCCCCCCCCCACGACGGAAGCCGCGGAAGGGAGGGCGGGGGGGTGGGGCGGCGGTAGCTGCTGCTGGCGCTGGCGGTGGCGCTGGCGCAGGCGCTGGCCGTTGCTCTGGCGCCTGGCGCCGACGTCCGCGCTGGCAGGGCATGCGCGGGGCGACGGGCAGAGCGCGCGCGGGGCAGGGCGTCCGAGGGGCAGCCAACAAGGCGCGTTCGGGGGGACGGGCAGGGCGCGCGTGACGGGCGAACGGGAAAAAAAATAGCGCATTTCGCGCTGTAGTACGGGCGGGCCCATGATTCTTAAAAATAAAATAGGTCCTAAGACCGTAGTGGCTCTGATAGCATGTTAAAATAGTAGGCTTAGGAGAAATTAGGTTTTAGGAAGAGAGAGGATGTTTGGCCAAGCAATGAGAGGTTTGACTATGGAGAGAGTTACAAGAAATAGGGCAAGGGAAGGTGGCCAAGGGGGGTATACCACCAACAATGAAATAGATACTACACTAACTAAGCTAATATGCAGTTATACATAGAAATACAATTTCTGACAGTTTTAAGCGAGTCTGACAAGAGGCTGGCCTGATAGGGGCCCGTAAGAACACGCTCTTAGAGTAGCAGCAGCACTAGTAGTGAAGTTCGGCTGCGGCTGCTCTGCTATGCTAAACAGAGTCTGGTCTGGTCTGTTTGTGATAAAATCAGAACCCTGAACACTACAATTTTTGCCCTGACAGGTCAGGATTATTTTCTGCAAAAGCCCTGACCAATCAGGAAGGCTCTGAAGATTTGCCCTGAGAAATCAGGGCATTTTTTTGGATTCTAGAAAAGTGCCCTGAGGGCTCAGGGTGTCCCAAAACCTAGCACGGGCCCTGCACCTGAGCTGGTGGAGGAATTTTTGAAAGATCAGGTGCATTTTAGAATGGATGTATTGTGCATTCTTTAACCTGACTCTAGTTACACACTTGTGATTATGTTAGCGTTGTCCTTCATGCTATAACGAGCACATGTCCCAAAGCACGTGCGATTGTGATGAATTCGCTTGTCTGCTCTGCACAGTCGATGCGCCAAGCAGCCAGCTGCCCTCCTGCGCATGCATTCCTAACCCAATGAGGAGGAACCTGAGTAGATTCGAACGCCCAAATGGGCTCGAAATTGTAGGATACTTTGGGGCATCGCTAGCTTCGTTACCCCAAGGTTGCCCTCAAGATGCCCCAAAGTATCCTACAATTTCGATACACGATACACGCTGCTAGCAGGAGACATTTGGAGATCAACGACACTTGCGAAATTCGTTTTTAAAGCTGCGGTCTACATACTCAAAGTGATTTTCTGGGGGTATTTAAAGTGAACACCCTTTGGCGCAAGATGATTCGAGAGCGAAGTGAGCTTCTTCCCCAAACACCTGTGCGAGGAATTCAAACACCCAGAGCGACGACAAACAATTTCGTGAGCTGATTTGCTTTGGGCAAGAAATCCGCGGGAATGCGGAAGCAGCTGCGCCCAACTCAAACAACCAAGCGGAACACAAACAAGAGCCTAACCGCTTTGTGCAACCTATGCCTTACCAGCTGAGAATCCCGCTAGAAGCAGGCAACGCAGCAGAATACTGCAGGCCATCGCGCCCACTGCCGGCGAAATTCGCCTGGAGCGCGTAATGTAGTGTTTATTTCACGCATCCACGCTGATAGCCGCGATTCCTGCTAGCAGCGTGTATCGTAATGGCTCTCGCCACCCCGCTCACAGCCGCGATTCTGGCCAGTTGCGCTCAGCGTAGCGTCTTCAACACGCCACCACGCTAAGCCGCGATTCCCGCTCGCGGCGTCTGTTCGCGCCACCACGCTAAGGGCCGCAATTCCCGCTAGTAGCGTCACTCGTACCGTCTGTTTCACACCACCCTTTTCACAGTCGCGATCTTCACCATGTGCGCGTGGCGTAGCGCCTTTTCCAAGCCACCACACTCGCAGTCGCTTTCCCTGCTAGGAGAGTACAGAGTAGCGGCCATTCCAGGTCGCACCTCCATTTCCCCCCAGGTCGCATATCCCCTTACCCGTAGGTCTCACCTCCGCTTCCCCCCAGGTCGCACCTCCCTTTCCCCCCAGGTCGCACCTCCTTTCTCCCCAGGTCGCACCTCTATTTCCCCCCAGGTCGCACCTCTATTTCCCCCAGGTCGCACCTCTATTTCCCCCCAGGTCGCTCCTCTATTTCCCCCCAGGTCGCTCCTCTATTTCCCCCCAGGTCGCTCCTCTATTTCCCCCAGGTCGCTCCTCTATTTCCCCCAGGTCGCTCCTCTATTTCCCCCCAGGTCGCTCCTCTATTTCCCCCCAGGTCGCTCCTCTATTTCCCCCCAGGTCGCACCTCTATTTCCCCCCAGGTCGCACCTCTATTTCCCCCCAGGTCGCTCCTCTATTTCCCCCCAGGTCGCACCTCTATTTCCCCCCAGGTCGCTCCTCTATTTCCCCCCAGGTCGCTCCTCTATTTCCCCCCAGGTCGCTCCTCTATTTCCCCCCAGGTCGCTCCTCTATTTCCCCCCAAGTCGCTCCTCTATTTCCCCCCAGGTCGCTCCTCTATTTCCCCCAGGTCGCACCTCTATTTCATCCTCTCTCCCCCCTTTCATCCTCTCTCCCCCCCTTTCATCCTCTCTCCCCCCTGTCCTCCCTTCTCACCCCTTTCATCCTCTCTCCCCCCTGTCCTCCTTCCCCCCCCTGTCATCCTCTCTCCCCCCTGTCCTCCTTCTCCCCCCTTTCATCCTCTCTCCCCCCTTTCATCCTCTCTCCCCCTGTCCTCCTTCCCTCCACTGTCCTCCTTCCCCCCACTGTCATCCCCTCTCCCCCCTGTCCTCCTCTCCCCCCCCCCCCCCCCCCCCGTCATCCTCTCTCCCCACAGTCATCCTCTTTCCACCCTGTCCTCCTCCCCCCCCAGTCCGCTTCCATCCCCTCTGTCGTCTCTCCCCCTGTCCACCTCCCTCTCCCCTGCCATCCTCTTCCCCTCCTTTAGTGGCCACTCCATCCCCCCCTTATCCCCTTTTCCACCATCGTTTCCTACTCCTTTCCGT